TAAAGCACGCTTAGCCCAAACTTTTCAGCTTTAAAAAAAAAGAAGAAGGAATTTTGCTCTGTTGATAATAACCTTGTTTGTCATTGGGGTTGACGCTTGGTTAACCTTGATTCTTTCTGTTTGCAGCACAGACTTTTTAATAATAATAATAATAATAATAATAATAATAATAATAATAATAATAATAATAATAATAATAGTAAAGTTGGAAGGGATCTTGGAGGTCATCTAGTCCAACCCCCTGCTCAGGCAGGAAACCCTAGACCATTTCGGACAAATGGCTGTCCAGTCTCTTCTTAAAAACTTCCAGTGTTGGAGCCTTCACCGCTTCTGGAGGCAGGTTGTTCCACTGGTTAATTGTTCTAACTGTCAGGAAGTTTCTCCTTAGTTCTCGGTTGCTTCTCTCCTTGATTAGTTTCCATCCGTTGCTTCTTGTCCTGCCTTCAGGCGCTTTGGAGAATAGCTTGACTCCCTCTTCTTTGTGGCAGCCCCTGAGATACTGGAACACTGCAAATCAAATATCAACCTCATTCTATCCCCCAACGTTGGTTTTTTTTTTTTAGTGGAATCCTCTCAAAAACAGATTTTACCGGGAAATGAGCTTTTTCTGAGTCAGGGCCAGCATAATTAGGTTTTCTTCAAAGTCACTTTGTGATGGTTTGATTTTTTTTCCCTCTTCACAAATGATTTCATTAATTTCTCCAGAGGTTTCAGTGACCCTAGACTGCTAATCTTTCCATTGTGTGGCTCCTTTCAAGCCGAGGTCTTGTGTATATTTATTTATTTGGTCACGGAAGATAGATTATTTGTATTAGAAAATTGCTTGGACTAGCTTCCATAACCGGGTTTTTTTTTTTGCTTTTCTAATTCTATACCATCATGCCAATAAATGCGCCTGGTCTCTATAAACCATCAGGGCAATGACGGATGTCATTTCTGTATATATTGTAACAATCCCCAGTAAAAGAGAATGTTTTTAGCGCAGGGTTGAACTGTGGGGTCCTTGGTGCTCTCTGAGCTTGGTGGTTTTCTTGCAGATGTTTCATTGCCCAACTAGGTAACATTATCAGTGCTAGGAGGGAGTGAGGCTTGCGAAATGGAGGAGGAGGAGGAGGAGGNAAAAAAAGTTTATTTTGTCTGTTGCTTTAAAGGCCGTCCAAAAGGCCGTTCTCTCTCTCTCTTTTTTTCAAACGTTGGCCTAAGTTGCTAATTTTTTAAATTTATATCTATTGAATTATTATTACATTGTGCAGAACGAGTTCCAGACTCTTGTCATAAACATGCACGGAACCCTATCTCTAGTCTAGTGTAAAGAAGGACCAGGGGTGACGTTATAGCAGGGTTCCAATATCTCAGGGGCTGCCCCAAAGAAGAGGGAGTCAAGCTATTCTCCAAGGCGCCTGAAGGCAGGACCAGAAGGGATGGATGGAAACTCATCAAGGAGAGAAGCAGCCTAGAACTAAGGAGAAATTTCCTGACAGTTAGAACAATTAATCTGTGGAAACCAGAAGTTGTGGGTGTTCCAACACTGGAAGTTTTTAAGAATAGAATAGAATAGAATAGAATAGAATAGAATAGAATAGAATAGAATAGAATAGAATAGAACAGAGAATAGAATAGAATAGAATAGAACAGAGAATAGAATAGAATAGAATAGAACAGAACAGAGAATAGAATAGAATAGAATAGAATAGAATAGAATAGAATAGAATAGAATAGAAGCTGTAAGGGACCTTGTGGGTCTTCTAGTCCAGCCCCCTGCTCCAGCAGGAGAACCTATACCATTTCAGACAAATGGTTGTCCAGTCTCTTTTTAAAAGCCTCCAGTGTTGGAGCATTCACCATTTCTGGAGGCAGGCTGTTCCACCAATTAATTGTTCCAACTGTCAGGAAGTTTCTCCTTAGTTCTAGGTTGCTTCTCTCTTTGATTAGTTTCCATCCGTTGCTTCTTGTCCTGCCCTCTGGTGGATGCAGGATGCAGAATAGAATAGAATAGAATAGAATAGAATAGAATAGAATAGAATAGAATAGAATAGAATAGATCATAAGCCTGAAAAACGGTCATAAGTCACTTTTTTCAGTGCTGTTGTAATAATAATAATAATAATAATAATAATAATAATAATAATAATAATAATAATAATAATAATAATAATAATAATAATAATAATAATAAAGTTGGAAGGGACTTCTCCAGTTACAGCAACTCTAAGCTTCGTGTTTTAAACTGATTCCGACTGTGGAAATTTCTAAAGAAACACACACACACACACACACACACACACACACACACACACAGAGAGAGAGAGAGAGAGAGAGAGAGTTTTTAATTTGAAGGATTGATGAGATTTGTCTCTCTCTTTCTCTAAGAAATATCAAATAGGTCTCTGGAGGGGAAATGACCTGGGACGAAATGCTTCCCGTAATATTCTTTCTGTAATTTTTAACCGTAATGAGTCTTTCCTGATATCTTTCTTTCAGAGCTGATAATGGTGTCTTGGTTGAGCGTTTTCCTCCCCCTCCCCTCCCCGTGAGAGCATAAAACTCTGGACCCAGGTTTTAGACCCTCTCGGTAATTTTGAGTCATTTCTAAACTCTTCATCTGATCTTCAAAGTAGATCTCCCCAACCATGGAGGCAGAAGAATTGACGAATGACGTCCTGGGAATTAAAAACATCACACCCCACAAGGACGACACGTGGGCCACCTTTGAAGTGATCGAAAATGGAGAACTGGGTCAGTCACGTTTTGGCGCCGTCTTTG